GGGAAATATGATGAAGGTCAGGTCGAAGGTCAATGTCAATGTCAAAAATAAGGTTGCAGTGACCTGGTTTCGGTACGCGACACACCTTCTCCCCAAGATGTGTAAGTATACCCAAGTTTGGTCGTGCTAGGTCAATTAGGGCCAAGTTATAGAGTGGAAGGGAAATATGATGCAAGGTCAAGATCAAGGTCAAATAAAAGCCGCAGTGACCTGGTTTTTGTACGCGACACACATTCTCTCCAAGATGTGTAAGTATACCAAGCTTTGGTAGCGCTAGGTCAATTAGGGGGCCGAGTTATAGAGCGGTAAGAGAAATCATGATCAAGGTCAAGGTAAAGGTCAAATAAAGGTCGTAGTGCCTGTTTTGGTACGCTGCCCACCTTCTCCCCCAAGATGTGTAAGTAGACCAAGTTTGGTCATGCTAGGTCAATTAGGGGTCGAGTTATAGAGCAGAGGGAAATCTCTGCGCGGCGGCTGTACAGAAATGAAACCATAGTATCCCCGCCGACTTTGTCGCGGGGGATACAATTAGAGACATGTTCCTATAGTAAATTCTTAAGTAGTAAGGCTGAGAGGGTCTATGTCCCCAAGGGTACTATAGGAGGGTACCCTGGTACTATCTAATATGCCGGACCGTACCTCACTTACTCTACTAACGAGTCTAGGGAGTCGCCTACGCCTACTCCCTAACCCTAACCCTAACCATATCAAATAGTACCAGGGTACGTTTCGATATATCGAACCGTAACCAGGGTACCCTCCGATAGTACCCTGGGGGACATAGACCCTATGAGCAGTAGTAAGGGCTTCTTAGTAAATGTACTAAAATGGCTATTATGAGTGCGAGTATACATTTTCAAATGCATATATTGATTTTTTCATGATATAAAACAGTATCATTGTAACACTGGGAGAAAAGGGGCTATTTATTATATCCACTATTACCATTTGGCTCGCTCTCGTTATCGTTATTATGGACTTGTTATGGACTTGTTTTGATGTTTCAGGTCCTGATCTGGAGACCAAAACTTGCCTGGTCTCTGTTTAAAACGGATCTTTACTTTATGCAGCTCATTGTAAGTGTAGCCGCTGATGATGTTGTTAGTTACCTCCGCCAGGGGCATGGCGGGGGTTATGTTTTCACCGGCGAGTTTTTGAGTGTTGGTTTGTGTGTTTGTGTGTTACCATGCACGTTTCAGTTCACTTCCGCTAGGTGCGCTGGCTGTAGAATTACAAACACGCAACCACAGGCTAAGGGGCATCCACAGTCCTCCCCCACCTGCACGCTCGCACTAATCCGGATCAAATTATTTAATTAATTAATTAATTGATTAATTTTTCCACTTAATTAAATAATTAATTAATAAAAAATTTCACATGGAGAGAATTCAGCTGCCTTGGCGGAGGTCTGTGCTCTCCGAGTGCTCTAGTTAAAGTTACATCCTTCCCACGCCTATGTGCAGTGGCGTAGCTAAGATTTTTTCAGGCGGGGGGGGGGGGCACTGGGGGGCCTTTTATTTTCGTGGGAGGGCACAATATATAACTTTTATTTGTATTATACTGTTTTAACGGCATTGTTTTTAATTCAATTTTTTTTTTATCAAGCATGAATTTTTAGTGGGGGGGGGAGGCACCTGGGGGGGCACGTGCCCCCCAGGCCCCCCGTAGCTACGCCATGCTGCCTATGTGGCGCATAGGGCGATGCCTATCACCGTTTCCTTAACCCGAGTCCACGCAGCTGCTTTCACAGTAAATACTATGTACAGTGGGGGGTTAGTCCACTGGTAGCACTGCGAGTTAATTTCCCACGCTCTATCTCTACTTGCTGAAGGATATTGAGGACCTATCTGAGGATGTTGTTATTGTTAACCACTATTGAAATAACACTAGCTGCAGGGGGATTGATTTTAGAAACATGCACATTTCATAAACCATACGCGCATAGGTCACACTGTCTGATGCAATGACGACATATTTTTACGTTTAATATGTATATTACATGTACCGATGAAGAGCAGGCAGCTGGCTGATGTGTTATTTATTACATAACTTTTATTTACAGCATTTGAGCATGCCACCTATAGTGTAGACTGTAGACCCACTCAATCTTTTGAAAAATTTCGTAACAGCGAATTTACATTTCACATCCCGAATTGTGCGGTTATAATTTTAAATTATATATGAACGAGTGGTTGTATCTAACGCTGTGGTCGTAATTAAGTCCCAAAGTATGTATAACACGGAAAATTTACGTTACCTGAGTTTTCGTAATGCGGGATATTTTTTATACTAAAAGCTAGTCTGTTTTAAAAATGAATTACTGTAAGTGTAAAACAAGAAAACAACAAGTAAGATTCAAATTCGCAAGGCCAAACATGTTCCAGGAATTTCTAGGGGCTATAAGGTCCATTTTCCAGGACTCTAAGCTTCAAGCAAAACACAATCTAATCTTCGTATTTTGTATCTTGCAATCGACAATTAATAAATAAACTGTTGCGCCAGACCCCATCGAGAGTGGGACACCAGCTCCAGGTCTCTCCCTTTTCATTGATACGGCTCACATAAGACCTACGCGGCGACAAGTTGCAAAGTACCAATACTTATAGCTATACTTCTACTATGTTTTCTACTTTTTCCCTCGGTAAAACTATATTTAAAAATATCAAAATACTAATATTGTTGCCAGTAAACTAAAACACTTACCTTGTTGAGGTGAAATGTTTAACCTTGGTGTCATGCTTTGAACACCCAGTTGTAGTCTGGGACCAACCTACATTAATCAAAGGCAAGTCAGAGGTTTTGACTTGCATACCTTTCTCATTTATTCATGACTATAACAGTAGCTTTGACCAATAATTATGCTCTAAACAAATGCAGATCTATATTAACAAGAGCGTATTAAGAAGGCCAATTGGCAGCAATTAATGACCAAGGATTATTGACTCACCCTTTTGCCCCTTTGCCTATAGTTGCAGGCAAATAGACAATATCTGTCTGGTGGAAGTTTTGGACCTGTGTGTGGCTTGATAATGGGTAGTGGTTGGCTGTTCTTTTGCCTTGACAGCTCAATCACAAGCTACAAGCAGGTTCAAGAAAAATAGAAAACAATTTTAACTTTTAACTATGCGAAAGTGTAGACGGCACATATAAAATTGCAGGTTTTAGTAATATTAGCATTATATGACTCTGGTAACCTTGCCACTCTCTCTGCACTTCTGTTCCAAGTTAATAATATGGTAGTGATACATATATGTGAAGAAGACAATTAATACATACATCTCTAGGTGGTGGAGAAGTAAAAGAGAAATCCATTCTACTTTGAATTGCCAACTTCACATCCTGAAAGTCTAGGTTTTTCCTCTTTGCATAGTTCTGATACACCCTAGCATCATCAAGTATGCCAGTGATGTAACCTAGATAAAACATGGCAATTAGTACAGAAGATATGCAAGGGAAATACACCCCATAAGCCAAATGCGCCAACTATATTGCAATACATTAGACGATTAGAGTAATAATTGAATACATTTTCTCCTATATATATATATATATATATATATATATATTACGCTATTATTTGGTCAAATAGCCGTCAACAAACAAATGTGGTGAATTTTTTTACAACAACCTGTTCTCTGATTCTGACCATGTAACATTGAGACTATATAAGGAATATCCAATTTTTCCTTTTACAACCTACCCACATCACGAAACATAATTAGCCACACTCGCGGAGAGACCTGCTCAACAGGGGATCAATGCACAGCTTTCAATGCGGGCCGGCTGCAAGCTAGTGCCAAGTGCTATAGCTATAGTAGGGATAGATCAATGCGAAAACATGGAAATTGCATCTTCAACGTCGATCGGCGAAATAACAGCACAGAAAAAGACGCTTCTTCCAGTGACGGTCTTTGGCCTTGCAAGCGCATGCATATATATACATTATAGCTGTTCAAACAACTCCTAAAATTTACCGTAACAACCCACGAATTTAGTGCTGTCGTAATTATAAAAGGAATAGAAAGAAACAAATTAAAACGCAAATTTTCATAACTATAATTACTCGTAACTAACGTCAATTATTTGGAGGAGTGATAAAAAAAACCGAGTATCCGTCACATTTGATGCACACATATACTTCGCCGCACACAATGAGTGTCGATTTTTGTGGCTTACAGAGTGTGAAATTCGCAGTAAGAGCCGCATAAAAACATGTCAAATTAGCAACAGTCTCTCGAGACACGATGAGAGCAAACGGGCGAGAGTTAACTCTTGCGCACAGCTGCACCGACGGCTGGGTGTGATAGGATAATTCCAATTCTTTATCATCTACCTACTATAGGCACACACTAGAGGTTTAAATTTTATGCACGAGTTCTCATCGTCGGTCGGCTTCACTGCCTAACCAGAAAATAATAACGCAAGATTGCCAATGTCCTCTACTCTGGGAAGCCCTACACAATATAACAGCTGGTGAATCACCTACGTCCAAACGAGTCACGTTTCAGGGGGAGTACGTTGGGACGTTACTGCGTGTGTATAGATATTGCAATGTAAGAATTTCGATGAGTGAATTTTCCTGTCTCATCGGCGTTCCAGCCCCGTCCGTGTACAGATTTGCCTATATCGTCCGTGTATAGTCACTAGTCATTCTAGTGCATGTTTTGGGCTAGCAATCGTGAAGTGATCACACTTTGTTTGCGCTGTTTTGCAACTGAATACCCGGGCTCGGTTTATCACGCGCACCGAAACGTATTGCAAATACCAATAAAATGAAAGTGTCAATGACACTGTAGCTCACCACAAAAAAGGACACAAATGAGTGAGTAAGAAGAAGTCAGTTTTAATTGAGCAACCATCGACGTACATTATAGAAACGAAGAGTATATATGGGAGAACTCCCATTATATACTCTTGATAATTATATGTGTAATTTTTTATGTGAAAATAATAAATAATATTATATATAAATTATAAATAATTTATAAACCAAAATGAATCACAATTTGTGACGCTAGAGTAGATGGCGCTACACCCGCTTTGATGTTCCTTAGCATAAATCATTATATCATAATAATAATATAATAATAATAGTATAAATCATAATGTTCATAGCAGGAATTTTGCATTAAAGATATTGTCAATGAAATCTTGTAAAACGACCCAGACAAGTGTGACACCACAGACTGTTTGTTATCTGCGTGTCTATATAATATGCTATATAATTGCCAAACCCTACCTAATTTGCTTTTTTTTTTAAATATCAAAACCCCTAGCCCTTATTCATTCACATACCAAAAATGAGCAAAATCCGTTGAACCTGAACTGACTAATGGCAATTCCCATTTTTGCCAAAAAATTGCCTTGGCTCGAAAGTACGTCAACTGGCGTGCTCCAAAATAGGACGTTTAATATGGGAGCATAGCAGTAACAACTATACCCAATTTCAAACATGTGGGTCAAACGATTCCTGAGTTATCGTTGACCATAGCCAAATGTTGACGGACGGACGGACGTACGACGGACAACGACCCATGGCAATAGCTCAGCTTGACGATGTCAAGGTGAGCTAAAAACAATGCGGTTGTAAAGTCGAAATATCGATGAATGTGTAAAAGGATTTCGTGAGCAAAGCGGCGTTTCAGAGCTGTATAAACTTTAAAAAGTACACGACATGCGAGAGACCGCCACTGGCGCCACATGCTTGTGCTCACCATAAAAATCATGTAGAACCCTACTTCTCGGTAGAACACTCGCCAATACGTCGTTTCCAGTAAAGAAACAATTCGTGGTTATGTGCTAATATACTACAAGGGTAGAAATTAACTTTTGAACAACGGACTCCCTACCCTCAAAAAGAGGGAGTCCGCACCAAAATGAGGGAGTCTGCAGTCTGAGGTTCAAAATTAAAGATATTAACAATAACGCATGTGCTTATTTTTAAGATTCATGCGGTTGCACGTCTGCCAAATTTTCTTTGGACATTAGCTGAAAAAATACGGTAATTCCGCGAGGTCGTGCTCCGGAACGAAGTAGTATGGCAGAATTTTCAGGGAGTCACACGAACTCCTGCATATGTCAAATCAGGGAGTATTTGACTCCGGACTCCCGTTAATTTCGCACCCTGTATATATATACACAGTAAGAGAAATAAAGACAAACTAGACAGAGGGCACTCACGGAGAGTGCATACCTCCGCCAGCATGTAACATGTATGTGTTACGAGCTGGCTCGCCGCTCGCTGCTGGCTGCTGCTGACTGACTGGCCTGCTGCTGACTCGACACGCTAATATCGATCGCGCGAACACGCTAACACACGAACGAACTAACACACTAACACACAAGAGTGATCACATAACCTCCTCCAACTCCGTTGGGCGGAGGTAATGATAAGACAGACTAGGTTTTGGCTGGCCTGTTCTATGATAACACCAGGAGTGTATAATTTATATATAATATCTCTATATTATATACTCCCGATAACACTACTAGAAGTGGTGTCATGGTGTCCCGTGGCTACACCTAGTGGCCACTAAGAGTCAGAGTAAGAGCTATCCAGTTAGTAACTTAGTACATAACAGACTGTGGCTCCCAGTCCCACCAACCAATGAAATGATGGCTGGTCCAGCGAGTGTCAGTCTGCAGAAATCAGGATTGCAATATCTGTTCTGACAACAATAAATGCGTTTTTATTTAAGCAACTCGGGTATGAGCGAATCAAATTTTCCATTTATTTAACCAACTCGCCTACAACGTAATCGTTGTATTTATTTAGCCGATTTGGCAACACGCGTATCACACTCGACAAACTCATCCAGGGGACGCTTTGAGACGATTATCAAACATGGCGGCGCACACATCTTTAGCGAGGTAAGTTGATATGATTCGTTTCGTTTTACTTATCACAAACCCATAAATATCGTCTGATCTTTGGAATAATTAGAATATATAATGGTACAACTGGTACAGCATTTTTTAGTATCAAAGTACAGTGTATCAGAAACAAATTATAATTTGTTGTGAACTACCGGGTCCGCCATTGTTAGAATGATCATTTAATGAGCAATTCGATTTGCATCACGTGATTATACACATGCAGTGTGTAAATCCATTTGATCCGAGTTGCTTAAATAAAAACGCCTTTAGTTATTGGTTGACTGCTATAACTGGCATTACCAGCACTAGTACAAGTAGTACAAATTCATCTGGTGGGTGTGGGTGTTGATTTTATTTTGTTTAGGCTGTGGCTACGCGACCGGTTCTAGGAGCCGCTAGGCTACTCGTCCGGACATCCATCTCACACAGTGATCTTGTGACACATACATGCATGATTGCGCAACAGGACGCTCTGCTGATTGCCGAGTGTGTGCGTGAGAGAGAGAGGGAGAGAGAGAGAGAGAGGGAATGTGTATGTGTGACGTGTGTGTGTATGCGTGAGAGAGAGAGAGATAGAGAGAGAGAGCGCTAGAGGTGTGTGTGTGTGTGTGTGTGTGCACGTGTGTGTGGGAGAGAGAGAGAGAGAGAGAGAGAGAGAGAGAGAGAGAGAGAGAGAGAGTGAAAGAGAGAGAGAGAGAGAGCGAGAAAGAACGGATGAAAGGATAGACGGCAGCAGTACATATATTGTATATTTACGGCAATCAGCAGAGCGTCCCGTTGCGCAATCATGCGTGTACGCAAGCACAGGTACTTAGGCCGTTTCAATAATAAAATGATGGTTAATAAATACAACTTGTCAGTACTACTACTAGACCTACCACTACCAGTACCAGTAATACCAAGAGTAGATAATAACACAAGAGTGAGACAACCGATTCCCTGCATTTTTAACCGTCGTTTTTCTCATCAAAATTGCACCACCATTAAGAAGCAAGTGTATACGTTCCTCAGCTTATTAGAACCACTAATCACTCACCTTCATGGACTGATATTCGTTTACATATATTTGCTAGCGTATTGCTGTAAATCGTAATCTTGCACGAGCTGAATTCGCACGATTTACCGCTGTTGTTGTGACCTGTTTAGCCATTATTTAGACGCTATCGGGGCGATAATATGTAGCAACGGCCGGTTTCCAAATCATGCGTGCCCCGGTAGGGGTTTAATGTACTTGATTACCTGCGCGTGCGTAATGTGATACTTACTGCAAACTACTACAGAGAATATTGTTATTATTGTATTATTACTTATGTAAGATAGTATGTCAATTTCTTGTGTTGCGATCACAATAACTGAGCGCGTCTCGCAGGTTCTTCACGAGATCAAAATTCGAAATCTAGATTGTCTCTCAACCCTATCGGGGCATGAATGATTTGGAAACCGTCCGTTGCTAAATATTAGCGCCCCGATAGCTTCTAAATAATGGCTAAACAGGTCACAACAACAGCGGTAAATCGTGCGAATTCAGCTCGTGCAA